AAGGTGGGCGTGGCCCCCATGGAGGACAAGATGCGGGAAGCAAGACTCAGATGGTTCGGGCACATTCAGAGGAGGAGCACTGATGCACCGGTGAGGAGGTGTGAGCGACTGGCTGTAGTGGGCACGCGGAGAGGTAGAGGACGACCTAAGAAGTATTGGGGAGAGGTGATCAGACAGGACATGACGCGACTTAGGATTACTGAGGACATGGCCCTTGACAGGGAATTATGGAGGTCGAGTATTAAGGTTGTAGGTTAGGGGAGAGTTGTAAATATTTCTACAGCACAATAGAGTGAGACTAGCCAGTTAGGAGTTAGACTAAGAATGTCATTGGTCGTCTATTGTTGCAGGGCTTTACCTGCTAGTTTTACTATACCAGCCATCTTTTTCGTATTTCATATTCTGTATTTCATATCTCTTGTATTGCTGTTATTTTATTATACAGGGCTCCTGTTGCTTTTTGAGCCGAGGGTCTCCTGGAAACAGTCTCTCTACCCTTCGGGGTAGGGGTAAGGTCTGCGTACATATTACCCTCCCCAGATCCCATTTGTGGGATTATACTGGGTCGTTGTTGTTGTTGTTGTTGTTGTTGTATTAGGAGAAAGAGATTCTTGTCAACTCTTTTTGTCACTATTAATGCATGTTTTAATTCAGGAATAACCTATTCTAGGACCAAACAAAAAATAAAACAATATTAAATTTTTATCACATAATTATTTTTACTTCTTAATTAATTGCTAGTGTAAAACCTTTACAAAACTACTATAGGCACCCACTTTAGATGTATTCCTATTCAACAATGGGAAAATTATTTGACTTTTGGACCGTGATATTATAGGTCCAAACCTACTAAACCCGCTATCGTCTCCTCTTCTTTTAATACAAGACTAGTATATGTACCCGTGCAATGCGCAAATAAGCTCAAAGAGAAAATGAGTGGAGAGAGAAAATAGAAAAAGATGTATATTGCAAAGAAAATTTAGCGACTGTATTCAAAAGAATTAAGCCAAAAAAATAAATAATATATGCAACTTTTGCCCTAAACGAAAGCAAATTGACCAAAAAAAACCAAAAAAAATCCAATTATTTATTGAATGACGGTAGGTGATATTTAAAATTTCTCATCAAATAGCACATTGTAGTGGTTATGAAGCTTTAGGTATATGACAGACCATGGGTGAATCTTTTAAAGGCAAAGTAGCTTGTGATTTTTGCCCATAAGAGTAGTTTGGAAGGTTATGCATTATTTTGTATAACTTATAAATTCCAATATTTTATGATTGATATTAGTACAAAATAATTTTACATTATGGAGAGATTTGTTCTTCATACAGTAATACCAACTACCAACTATTAATGAATTCCTTTAAACATAGAGCTTAGAGATCATATTGTTTCAAAATTACACACCTGGAAAGGGTGTGAACTTTTTTTAGCTGACAAAAAAGTAAGGTAGAATGTTGGGAAGTCAATGCTTATGCCATATTACCCCGTGATAAAACATAACATACAAAAGACGGTATATAACAGTTGTACATGATTAAATACAACTGTACATGAGGCCTGCAAAAATATTTGCTTCCTTATCATCATCTGTTGCCAAACAGAATATCACGAAAAATCCTAAGGGAAGAATAAAGAACAAAATTAAGATTTAATTTATAACAATTTATAACCACCAAATAAATCCTATTCTACTTCTAAGAGACTCATAATAGAAAATAAAGTTCCCGAACGTATTCATCTAAATGTTTATCTCAAACTGTCAAATATGCTTCATGGAGGATTGATCACGCCCAACTATGCATTATAAAAAGGACAATGCAGTCGTTGCAAATATAATCCGGTTTACAAGTCCGGAGTCGAATCCCACAGAGAACTAAGGCTTAGCTACAGCTGTTCACTATCACCAAGAAGACAAACTTGAACAGTTCCTAATTTATACATATTTAGATTCTTGTGTTTAACTAATTAACTAACAAATTAAAATAATAAATTAACAACTAAAGATACTAAGAGTTAGAGACAAGATTAAGGAGGTCTAGAGTTATGATTTCCCCAATTGTCGGAATCCTTCCCGCTATGTCTTCTATAATTTCGCCTAAGTATTCTCTACCGATCATGAGCACTCTTATTACCGTAAATCTCTCCCGAGTAATCACGACAATTTACTAGACGCACTCTCCCGAGCTACGCTAGCTGGCTTTTGATACAGCTCACTTCAGATCGCACCCAAGGCTTCGTTATCCCTAATCCCGCCTTTAAACCCTCGGTTATTGATCCCTCATATACTCTGGGAGTGGTGTTGTTCAACAATTACCTAAATATGCACTCTCTCCCGAGTTATGCATACTAAATAGGCACAGCTAATTGAGAGCTCTTCAATTAACTACAATAAGAACGTAGTTGAACAAATAGAGATTATACTACGGCTCAATTATATAAAAACATAACAAGAATTTATCCTACAAAAGGTTCTATCAAAACTCTAGATAACAATTTAGCTATTCATAATAGTATGTAAAACTACACTACTAAAAGTCATAACCAACAATAAAAAATAGGAAGAGAAAAGAAAAAACTTGTAGAAGAATTCCCAAGTCTTGCTCCTATTGTGTCTCTGCCTCCTTAGGTCAAATCTATGTCAAAAATATGTCCTCTCCTTTTCTTGGCCGGCTTCCTTGGTTTAATATAAGGTTTAGGGCTTAAAATCCCGTGTTTTGCACTTTGGTCCCTAAAATTTACGCATCCTACCGCGGTTCCACCGCGGTCGCGGTCAAACTGCGGCCAAACACCCTCTCAGATTCTTCAGTTGTCCGCGACTGCCCTCTGCCGCGGTTCTGCCGTGGTAGCGCCAAAACCGCGGTTTTTCACCCTATTCCATTTGAAATTTGGAAAAACGTAAAACATGCAAGTTGTATCTATTTGAGTTATCTTTCCAACCATATATTATGGAACCCAAATGGAGTTCTGAGAAAAAAGTTATGTCTATTTTACTAGACAGTGCGCAATATGCCTCTTCGAGTTTTCGTTTTGTTGTTTTATCATCCGTTAATCACCGAACACGATCCCAGCTTAATTCCTTGAGCTCTTACTCAGACTTCAAAGCTCCAAACCACTTAAATTCATTTTATAATATCTATATAGCTCGGAATTACACCTACAAGGTATAAAACACACAATTAGTGCAAAACACTAGCGATTAAAGCGCAAACTAAACTAAAGTGCAGTAAATTAGAGTGTAATAATCGACTAAAATACATAATTATAGCCTATCATCAAGGATAAATTATGACTGAGAAATAATGATGGAAAAAGTTCATCGAGGCTTGGTGACATTTTTATATTTTTGACTTCCTCTGAATTGGAATCTAAGTAAATGGAGAAGTATCCACCATTCATATAAATTGCACCATTCCGAATCATTTCTCTATCATAGCCATAAAAGGGTATAGAGGAATAACATTAGAATTTTCATGACATATTCCCTGTCAAACAGTCCAACCAAACAGAATCCAACTTTCAACGGCAATAAAATTGCAGTAACAGAGAAGGTACACTAACTTCCTTAATTAATTCAATCATGGATATGTTTGTAATAGCAAGTGAAGGGGTATAAAGGTTGAATGATAATTAAGTATAAAAATTCGACTAGTTCAAATAACTAATACATTGCATAAATATATCGCTAACAGAAGGAGTCAAGTAATTAAATATTAAAGTACATATTCTTAAATAATAATTTGGATCAAAGAATAAATTAAAGTACATATTCTTAAATAAGAATCTGGATCAATACTTACATTCTTTCGCTTCAATTCAGAACTTGCCCAAATAATAGAAGTACTTCCTTCCAAAACCTACATGACTAAGGAAATCTATAATCGGATAGGTAAAGTCATTTCAGTGCAAACAATCATGGACTTTTTTACTTTTTAACCACTTTGCGAATCTTGTTGCTCGAGAGTTGACAACTCAGATCGTCATCTAGTACTATTGGTGATGCCTTATTTGCGGATCTTGTCCTCTTGTCATACGTCTTCAATGAAGACATCATGTCATTATCGTCTATAGTTTCCTATAGGAATAAACACAATTAACATTCAGATACTTAATTTGTTAAAAAAAAAAACACTAATCGTATCCATGTCTATACAGTCGTTTAGCCACTATTTTTATATTTAAGCAGAACAAATTAGACTCAAATAATGACTTTCTTTGTTATACTATGATGAGAGAGAAAAGTGAAGCAATTGCAAAACAAATTTATAGTTTTATCAAAAAGTTTCATGCAAGTGAATAAAGTATTTTGTGGTGTATTAACTGAGTTTTAGCATTTCATGATTTACGCATAAAATACAATCTTGTGATACAAATATTAATACAGTTTATCAAATTTTTTTACAGCATATATGTTTACTTACTACTGAATATAAACATTTGAATTCTAAAAACTGAGTTCTTTAGTGAATCCTTCAAAGAATCTGTGTTTGTCCAGATCTAAATTTTTATTGTCAAATATATCTATCCATATATATATATATATAAGTAAATTAAGTATCATTGTAAAGGACAAATTAAAAGTTAGCAAAGTATTTATCTCACATTCCTTCTCTTCATCTACACCTTGAATAGTATTGAAGTCATGGTCCTAACAAATATAAAAAAATTAAGTCTTGAAAAAAGACTTAAATATGCAAATTATCGGAAATCTACAACTTAAATATGTTATGATGTTTGTGAACAACGATCACATACGGCGAAGGTATCTGAATGTGGAACAAGAGTATATTTCTTTATGAAATGCTCCCTATCTGTAAGCTTAACAATACTGTAAACTTCATCATCTGAATGTTCAAACTCTTGCGAAAGAAATAACAGGTAGGAATATAGCTCTACGAACAGGAAAAAAAAGAAAAAAAAAAGACTACAAGACTAATATTACTGCCACTAGGATGACAAAGGAATACACCCAGCTTCCCCTTGACCTTCTACCTTAATCCTCGACTTCCACACCCTCCTGTATAGGGTAACGTCCTTAGTAAGTTGAAGTTTCGTCATGTCCTGCCTAATCACCTCCGCCAATACTTCTTAGGCCTACCTCTACCTCTTCTCATGCCCATCACAGCCAATCTCTCACAACTCCTCACGGAGGCATCAATGACTCTCCTCTTCACATGTCTATACCATCTTAACCTCACTTCACGCATCTTTTCCTCCACAGAGGCTACTCCACCTTATCCCGTATAACTTCATTTTATCTTGCATATTTTATATGTTACTTGTGGGCTAGCTTGTGATCAAACAGGATAATTTCCGATGGTTGTACAAGCTAAAGAGGGGAAATGGTGTGGAGAAAATGTTCTCTTAGAAATTACAGTATTTCATAATTCAATTGTAGGTGAGGAATTGAGCAAATTGACATTCCAAATTCTAATATTGTTTTTTGTTTATTTTGTGTGTTACCTACCTTTTAGTTAGATTGACTCCGGTAGTGGTTGGTAATTGATTGTAATATTCTTTCTATATTGTTGACAGGAGATGGATGGAATGAAGGAAAAACCATAAAAGCATATGTATACTTGAGTTCGAAGATCATGTTTTAGCATGTCGTTCTCCATCCCGGTGCGTTTTCTCTATGTATACTCTCCTTTTTCTTTACTGTAATCTTCTTCTGGAAACTGCATCTGTTCTATGTTGATTGTCTTAATTATGAGGAAATATTTGATTCTGATTGAGATTTAATTTTATTTTGATTAATTGCAATTGATTGTAATTTATTTTCCTTCCTAAAATAGTCATAGGATGTAGCGTATAACTACCTCTGCTTAGGGATGTGAGAAATACACAGAAATACAAGAAACCTTTTATTTTTCTCAAAATCTACTTGGTATCAGAGTCATTACTGCCTTTTGAGGTGAGTTATCTCCATTGCAGCACTAGAGTTTTGTTTTTATCAAAGAGGTCGAGTTTTCTCTCTCTTGGTGGTTGTCCGAAACACAAACTCCTTCTAGTTAGTTTTTCTGGGAATTTTCTTTCTGTTAGAGTCGCTGGATTCCGAGCCTAACCCTACCAGTTTTAATTTTTCTGTTTACCGAAGTTAAGGTTCCGTCGAGACAGATTTAGTTTCCGGCGACGTAGATTATTTTTGAGTAGTTTTCTCTAGATTTCATTCTGATTAGGCAGAAAATAAGGAGACATTCAAGGAGACGGTTCCCGGAGAAATATTGTCTTCGGATAAAATTCACTTTCTCCGTCACCTCCTAGCAAAACTTGACTCCGCTAATATCGCCACATCTAATTATGTGCAATCGGGTACTGCTTTTGCTACTTAACCCTTAGTTCTTGAATTGTTGATTCTGGTACAAAATAGACACATGACAGGTTCTTCTAAAGACATTCAAAACTATTCTCCGTGTCTCAAAGGCGATAATGTTAATATAACTAATGGTTCTTTAACACCTGGAAAGGTACTGTTGTTTGTACTCCTAATATTAAACTATTGTCTCTACTCCATGTCCCTGCGTTCCCGGTCAATTCTTTGACTGCTATTTGTCACTTTTTACTTTTTAGCAGTAGCCAATAAAATAAAAGTTCTTAGTGCGTTCTTCAACATTGTGTTTGTAAATAATTATTAATAGAGTTTAAAAAATGAATTATACAACCAAATCAAGATCGTTTTCAAATAAAACTAGCTGTTTTTAAGAGCGATAAATAAAATGACCAAGGAACTTAATTATATTATAAGATAAACTTTCACATAATTAAAAGAGTGAAAAGTCACATTTCATGTTGCTTATAGCTTAAACAAGAATTGATGGTGACAATTTAGGTTCCAATTTAGTAGCCCTCAACGAGCTTTATCATCCAACATATGGCTTTTCTCTAATAAGGCCATGCGCATCGGGGCAAAGCCATACAAGATTGCAACAAATGTCAGTGGTACGAAAACAATGACGATCCGCTAGCGGGACACCGTAACAAAAGGATTGGTACGTTCAACTATGGCCTTGGCTTTTAAGATCTCAACGCCGATCAACTCGGGCCACTCATATGGAATTGTATCTCCCGGTTGTTTGCAACTATTGCCAGTACAACCGCAATTAAGACAAGGAGGATATACAACCATAGATTGAGTAAGAAATAGAAAACCAAGATAAAAAAGGATTATGATTTTTTCCATTTTAGGCTGTTTGTGATGTTACTCAAATGGGGAAGGAGCTTCAACTTTATAGGGATGTTAAGATCTACTTACCACATATTCATACCTTATTATTAATATGTCACACCTTTTATTAATCTTACTTGTTTGACTGCACTCCCAGATTTTATAACATATATATGTTCACATCTGTCACCTTTTATTAAGATAATTTATTTCCTTTGATGATAGATTTTGTCATAAATATGTTCACACTCGTCACTTGTGTACATTCTCAATCTCTAAAAGGTCAATAGTTATATCCGCACTAGTTGTTTATATCAAATTAAGTTATTTAATCTTAGCAATTAAAAATTAATGTCATAAATACACCTCAATTAAGTAAAGTTAGATAATATGTATGTGTAAGAAAAATATATATTTTGTACTGATTGGTTTGATGTAACTGATAGACTTTTTTGATAGATATATTCATGTTTCATAGTGCAATAATATTCACTACAACTTTTTCAAAATTAAGGTGACACTACTTGCATTTTCAATTGTTAAGAAGACATGTAAGTCAAACTAAGTATAGTTTCACAAGGTAAAGGCGCAGTTCGTGATCTTTTGTTTGTCATGGAGTCGACGTAAGCGGATGATGTTGGTAAATAGTCACTTTTTTGGTCGCTATTAGAATTTAGCCATATTTTAAATTGTAAAGGCAAAGTAGCCACTTATTAATGTAATGGTATATGTATGGACAAAAATACCCCTATCTAAAATACGAAAGAACTCCAGTACTGGATTTCGAACATTTGTAAGTTCAATATCTAGGAATTATTTCTGGAGTTCCCCTATATGTAAAATCCAGCACCGTATACTTGAGTTTGAAACTTTGAAAGGTAAAATTCCAGCATCATATGCTGTTTTAGGACTTTAATGTTCTACTCAATTTAAAGAACCAGAAGAAGTTCCATGAGCAGATAAGCAAAGAACCAGAAAGACCAAGCCCTGCTCGACCACTTGGTACAAAGAATGTGGTGCGTCCACGAGCAAATGGAAGCGCCAATGGGTCAGCCAACAGAAGGTTGTCTCTTAATTCACACCAAAATGGTTCTACGTCAACAGCTAAAAATGGGAAGACAGACCATTCAAGAAAGGTGCCTCCTGTGAACAATTTTGCCATTTCAAAAGTTGATGCAGCCTCTCAGATTTACTCAAAAGATGGTGGCCCAGCACACCATAGTAGCTACTAAATAAGAGACGTATATGTGATATCTTCTTTTATCATTAGTTGTGCAGTTCATGTAGCAGGATAAACATTTTGGCGAGTAATCATATAGTGGAGACCAACTAGCTATTTGTGTTATAGTGGCAATTGTTGGGTTTTATGAATAAAGGTTTGAACGAGAAATAGAGGGAAATAAAATTTTGGATTGGCTCCTTTTAAAAAGGAACTTTATCCTTCATTGGATAGGAAGAGAAAAATTGTTGCGCTTATATATAGAAACACTTCTTCTAACTATTGAAAAATTGAGAAGAGCAAGCCTCGCACCATAGTTGTCATCGCTCGGCTCGGCTTCAGAGAAGTTGGTTAATTCCCAAATGGTCCTTAACAAAAATTTAAAAATTTCCACCAAACAGACACACATCTCCGAACAGGTACCTTTGCACCTATTGAGCCACAAATTCATTAGCTATAAATACAGAGGGTTACCATTATTATCTGCACTTCTGCATTGTTTTTCAAAGCAAAAGCAAAAAATAAGCATCAAATGTGATTTGACCCGCCTTTCGAGTTCGTCGAAGTTGTGTGATTTGTAATGCCGCTATCACATAATAATATTCTATTCTATCCTGAGATGAATTAATCCAGAATCTTGGCCAACTGTGAAGAGACTAAATTCCTTAAGGACACACAAACAACTTGTGGGCTCGAAATGATTTTCTGTTTTTGTTTATTGGACTAACGTTTCATTGCTTCTATGGTTTTCTAGTTTTGAACACAGATTGAAAACAACAATATTAGAAAGTCCCTTTGAAAGAAAAAGCTTAAAACTCCAGTATCATATGCTAGAGTTTCACCTTTAGAGGGCCTGAACTCCAGTACACACCGCTGGAGTTTCACCTTTAGAAGGTCTAAGAAAACTCAAACACCAGAAATTATTCGTGGATTTTGAACTCTAGCACATTATTCCGGCGTTCCATTTGCCAAAGCTTCGAACTCCAGGACCTATTATTGGAATTGTACTCTGTGTTTTAATTAGGGGCAAAAACATCAATTTAAAATATGGCTACAATCTATTAGCCGGTTCAAAAAGTGGTTAGCCCAACTAATTTTTACGACATAAGCTACACACAATTTTAATACTACTTTTAGTGTCCATCTCTTTTTGGGTAAAAAAAGAGGCTATTATTGATACTTAAGGATGCATTACAGTGATACTGCTAGTGGTATTAACCATAGGTACAGTACTAGTAGTAGCATTAGTGTTACTGATAATACAACACAGATTTCCTAGAGTAGCTAGGTTGTTACAAACATTAGTAGAGATTAGTTTGGTAGTTCCTACGCCTTCTGCATCTTCTTGGATAAGTTTCAAGATAGTAGTAGATGGAGTCAAAATAGTGGAGTGGTTGGATGGAGCCCTCCTTCTTCCTTGTTGTGCTAATGCATGGGCTACCTTGTTACTCTCCCTGAAGCAATGTCTGATTTGAGGATTCCCCAGTTTCTTCAGTTGGTACCTGCATTCAAGAGCAATATTTAGATAAGTGGGGGTAGTCTTGTTCAAGTAAGTGAATGACTTTGGTAGAATCTGTTTCTATTTCTAGAGATAGCAGTTGTTTGTCCCATGCGATCAGGAGTCCTTGTTGATGTGCTAGCAGCTCTATATAAGTGTGATTGTAGCCAAATCGGCATTTAGCAAAGGCCAAGACAGTTTCCATTGGCGTTTCTGAAAATTCCCCCGATGCCTCCACCCTGCGTTGCACTTGTGAAGGATCCATCTGTATTGAGCTTGTAGTGGCCTAATGGGGGTGTGTGCCATATAATTTGGACACAGTGCTTGTTCTCCGAGCTAGTAACATATTGTTACTTCAATTTTGTTTCCATATTGTTACAATTTCATTTCCATATTGTTACAATTGATATTGTGGTCTACTTCAATTTACTCTTGATTTTCTAATAGTCTTGGAAGCTTCTATTTACCTTATATAATTCATCATATAGTGTTGTGTGTATAGTTCTACCTCCACAAAGGTAGGGGTAAGGTTTGCGTACATACTACCTTCCCCAGACCCGACTAAGTGGGATTATATTGGATATGTTGTTGTTGTAGTTATAGTGTTATGTGTATAGTTGGAGACAGAAGATTTTCTTTTTCTTTTTTGTGTTCTGGAGGTAAAGGGTTTCATAGGTGGAAAGCAAATTCTTGAACGCTGGTGGTTGAACGAGGTTTCTTAATTTTGATCATTACAGCTTTATCTATCTTACAAATACATGACTGTTTATTGCTTGCCTGCAGATTTCATTTCTATGAGTCCTACATCAAGTAATCAGCGGCGGATGTAGTGTGTTAGCAATGGGTTCAATTGGGAACCTATAACAACAACAAATACAGAGGTAGGACTCATCAAGTAGGCAGTGGCGGATGTTGATTATGGCACCCAATCATAATCAATCTCTTGATCAAAGACTCTCCCAGCAGGATCGTCCTGTACTGTGATGTTTATAGGCAGCTCGTCCGTTATGTCCATTTCAATCAACACTCTGGCATACGAGATCCTTGCTGAATTTGTTGTGCAGTCATCAGCATATACATGCCTCCCTATTTCCACTAGCAATTCTGCTCAAAGTGATCTTTCCCAAGCAGTTTTGAGGCAAGTTAGAAAATATTACCCATAGTGGGATGGTTTTAGCATTTCGTCATGAAAATTAATCTCAGCAGACCAAGGCTTCAAGATTACTGGTTTATTGTTAAGGATGATAGGAAATATTATTGGGTATGTTGTTGTTGTTGTTAATGGTGTATGGTCCCGAGTATAATACCTCGTTCCTATCATCCATACTACTGAAGAGTAAAACAAAATGTCCTACATGAAATACTTGAGATAGATGCTTTTATTTACTTTTTGTATCACATACTTTGAGTTTATATCCTTATCCTTAAATCTATCAATAAACTGGATTTAGAAAGAATTAAATGGTTATGAGAAGTATGCTGAATAGAGACTGTATTTTGCCACTTCAATTTGAAGGTGGTGCTTCATTAAAAGGCCTTGAGGATGTCGGTAAAGATGAGTTTTACTAAAGTCTATCTTGTGTTTTTTAATGATTCAAACATGATAATTTCCTAGGCTGTACAAGTTAAAGAAGGGTAATGGTGCGGTAACAACAACAACAAACCTAGTATAATCCCACGAGTGAGGTCTGGGGAGGGTAGTGTATACGCATACCTTACCTCTATCTTGAGGGGTAGAGAAGTTGTTTCCGATAGATCCCGACTCAAGAAAAGTATGATGTGGCAACAAAGTTCTACATAATTCAGTTGTAGGTGAGGAATCAATCAAGTTGACCTTCCAACATCAAGCCGGTGCTTTTTCTCTCTGTAGACTCTCCTTTTTTCTTTACTCATGATCTTCTTTTGGAAACTAAGCTGCCCTACTTTCCAAAATTTTCTGTTCCTTCTGTTTCCGTTTAAGCGTCTTCCTAATCTGCCTTTTTCGTCTTTCTGAAGTTTTGCATCCTTTTCCATTATCTCTTGTTTATTTCCAGTATATATCAGTTTTTGCTTTCTTGATTCACAAAGGACATAGACAATAACTGGTGCAATGAATTGTATAAACTGGAATTAAGCAGCAAAGAGAGACGGGTAATAATGATTTGCATTTTCAGAAAATCAAGAACAGTATAGCAAACTGACGGAGTATCTCCGGAATGGAGGTTTCTTCACCTCTAAACTTCTGTACATCGATAAAACACGAGAAAGATGCTACGTATATAAATAGACGGGCCTTAGACTCTAATGACACGTTTTAAAGCTGCGCAGGCCTAGATTTAAAGCGGACAATATCATTAATGGGCTGAACTGTTACAACACTAATCTTGTTCTTTCGCTTTCTGCAATGTTCATTTGCTTGCACAATATGGAGCAGGTTGTTTGCGGTCTTAGGGAAAAACCTACTAATACAATAGTTGATTGTCTTTTAGGTGACTTGATAGTGTAAAATTGATAGTGTACTCTTTAGTTAGTGCATCACCAAAGAAGAACGAGGGCGTTTGAGAAAAAAAAATTCAACTATAGTTGGTAGCATTTGACACATCTTTTTCCTCATTATTATTTTGTCTTTATTTTCTTCTTCTCGTTTGTGCCTAAGTCTCTAAATATTTTGGTTCTTTTCTCCATTTAAGGCAGTATCGTTAAGTACATGATATTAAATTTTGAGAACCTTTATCCCATATGATTTGTTCAAAACAAATGAAGGGCGATGTGCACAAATAGTCAGTGTTTTAGCCATTGGTTTAATAAACTTATACCTGATTGGATGAAAATACCATTCTGCTATAACTTATACCTATGCTTTTAATAACGATCAGCAGCAGCGCACGTAACTAACTTCACTGTGATCGTCGAATTTCAAAGTATAGAATTGTAGAGGCTTCTCTCCCGATTTCAAACTATAGAATTCAACTTTCTCGTCCAAAAATCGACATAAATTTACAGTAAGTTATACTTTTATATGTTTCTATTGATTTTTATTTCGACGTAGTTATACTTTTTCCGATTTCTATTGATTTTTATAAAGTAAGTAGAAATTTGATTTTTTTTTTGAATTTCTGGATTGATAAGGTTAACGACATCGCGTCCTGTAATAATTCTATAAAAATTGAGCACATAATATTAAGGACATAGTGTCCTCATTTTGCAAATTGAATTGACAAAGTTAAGGACACAATGTCCTTAACTTTTTTGCTGTTCTTCTGTATATTAAGGACATACTGTCATAATTTTGCAAATTGTTTTGAAAAAGTTAATGACACTTGGTTCTGAAGTTTGAGTTTCAAGTTGAAAAGTTTAGGACACTTGGTCCTGAACTTTGACTTGTTCAATAATTAAGGACATTTGGTCATTAACTTAGAGTTATAAGTTAAAAAGTTAAGGACGAGAAGTCCTTAACTTCAAGTTTCAAGTTCAAAAGTTAAGGACACTTGGTCCTGAACTTAGACTTACATGTTCAATAGTTAAGGACAGGTAGTCCTTAACTTCAAGTTTCAAGTTCAATAGTTAAGGACACTTCGTCCTGAACTTTGACTTGCATGTTGAATAGTTAGGACACTTGGTCCTTAACTTAGAGTTCCAAGTTAAAAGTTAAGGACAGGGAGTCCTTAACTTCAAGTTTCAAGTTCAAAATTTAAGGACACTTGGTCCTTAACTTTGAATTCCAAGTTTAAAAGTTAAGGACACTTGTTCCTTTACTTATAGTTCCAAGTTCATAACTTAAAGACACTTGGTCCTGAACTTTACGTTACAAGTTCATACGTTAAGGACACTTCGTCCTGAAATTTGAATTCTAAGTTCAAAAGTTAAGGATACTTGGTCCTTAAATTGATCTTGAACTTACAGTACCTGTTCTTAATTATACAAGGATTGCTCTATAAAATATGTCCTGAGTTTTCCATTCTCTTGACTTGTAGGATGGAAATAATATGCATTATAATTGCCTTTAATGGTAGATGGACTGAAGACTATAAGTATCTTGATCATCAAACAAAGCTTGTTCTAGTACCTGAGGCAATTCGGTTTCAAGATTTCATTAAACAGATCTTTGAAGTTATTGAATTGGATAGAGACAAGTTTGAAGCAGTGATATGGTTTGATATCAACCTTGGAACAAGCAAGGGAATGCTTGTATCCAAAGATTTAGATCTTCACACATGTATAGAGTTACTAAAAACTCATTCACTCTTCAAGGGCTGTCGTATCATTGTTGATATTTCGGAAAAAGGTTTTGGATCAACAAGCAACTTTGAACATGTCAACAGAGAAACTCAACATGACAATCAAAACAAATGCCAACAAATAATGGAAATAGATATGGTTGAAGCTCAACTAATAACTGTAGAGGTGCTTCAAACACATGTCAACAGAGAAACTCAACATGACAATCAAAACAAATGCCAACAGATAATGGAAATAGATATGGTTGAAGCTCAACCAATAACTGAAGAGGTGCTTCAAACATTTGATTCTATTCAAGTAGAAGGACAAAGAATTATAGAGATTGACAACGAACAAGCTTTGGGTATTCAAGTCTTAGAGAGTGCACCGGTAATCGAAGAAGTTGCTGAAAAAACCTCTACTCAACTAACTAGACCAAGGTCAAATTTAAAACAAAAAGAATCCCCAACTACGATATTAAGAGAAAATACTTCGTTGGATGAAATAAAAGTGGGATCAGTATTTGACAAAAAGAAGATTATAATTAACTATTTTTCGAATATAGCAATTAAAGGACATTTTGAATTCAAGGTTGTTAGATCAAGATCAATAAGATATTCATTGAAATGCAATGATGATAGGTGTGGGTGGTGTGTGCGTGCTTTCAGAATTAAAGATTCAACACTGTTCAAGATAGTAAAGATTGAGAAAAATCATGACTACTCTGTTAACACTATGAAAGCTGATCAAAGGCATGCAACTTCAAAATTGATTAGTGGTTACATTATCGACAATCTTCGAGACCCAAGGTTTGAAGCTACACCAGTTTTTGGTAAAAATAGCACGGTATAGCCAGTTTTCGGACTGGTCATTCGAAAATAGCCAGCGTTTATGAAGGCAATGAAAAATAGCCATTATTTTGCTGTAACAGAGACCGGTCCAACATAATATACTGGAGTTCGGTGCACCTGTGTAAGAACTCCAGCATATTATGCCGAACCGGTATACTTTGCTGACTCCAGTATAATATACTGGAGACTGGAGCACCGGTGCTCCAAACTCCAGTATATTATACTGGACAATTATACTTGCTGGAACTCCAGTATATTATTCTGGAGTTCTAGTGTACTTATGCTGGAACTCCATCATATTATGCTGGAGTTCCAGCATACTTATCCTGGAACTCCAGTATAATATGCTGGAGTTCAAGCATACTTATGCTGGAACTCCAATATAATATATTGGCATATTTTCTGGGTTTTGAACAGTGTTTTCGCTCAGATTTATCTTTTCATGAAAAGTGGCTAAATTTTGATTACTTTTGAAACTGGGCTATTTTTGAACGACTAGTTGTAAATCTGGCTATTTTTGAATTTCGATGCAAAAATTGCATAGACTAGACATTGGGTATCACAAGGCGTGGCGTGCTATTCAACTTGCTTCCGCTTTAATAAGAGGAATTCCTGAAGAGAATTATGAATTATTGTCTTAATACTTGTATATGATGAGAAGTGAAAACCCGAGAACATATACTAACATAAAGATAGGCGACAACAACATGTAAACAATCAAAAAAAAGTTTATTAGTCCGTTTCATAAAATTTAGGACATGCTGTCTTTAACCAGTTAACTTTTGAGCTTGTAGCCAGAAGTTCAGGACTGGTTGTTGTCACGACCCTAAACCCAAACCTGGCCGTGGTGGCGCCTCTCGTAAAGACAAGTCCAGCCGACACTTTCCATTTCGATTTTAAGCAATTAAACAATAAGATTCAAGTCTAAAGCATGATAAAATAACCCAAGGTTTAAGAAGTCAACAATATAAATATGCGAAAGAACAACCCAACATAGCCCGATACCGGAGTGTCACTAGTCATGAGCATCTACAAGTTCTAATACAAGTCTGAGAATTCTATAAACTATTACAAACTGTCTGATAAAGAGATAGAAATAATACGGGGGAGAAACACGGGACTGCGGATGCCAAGCAGCTACCTCGTGGACTCCAAAATCTGCTGGCAGGATCTGCAATGCCTGAATCTACATACAGGATGCAGGGAGTAAAATGAGTACTCCAACTCAGTGAGTAATAACCATAAATAAAGGCTGAAAGCAGGAAATCATGTAAAGCACATTTACAGACTATAATGAAGTAGTAAAATCAGTAAAAGATATGTGAAAGTCCTTTAGCGCAATTAAACTTCATGAAAACCTTTTTGAACATTTAAACAAGTAAAGGACAGGCAATTAAGAAAAT